GTATAATGATGTGATTGTGATGCTGTAATTCTGAGTGTTTTATGCGCTGCAGAACAGGAACCTGCTGTAAAACAGCAATTTTGCTGAGTCAGGCTTGATTTTTAATAATCTTTTCCTGTTAAATAAATAAATCAAATCAAAATAAAAGTCTGCAAATACTAATGATATTAAATCAGTTCATCCTTTAGTTATCCTGATTTTTTTTTCTCCCACAGCTGTGGGATCTTTCACAGGGATGTAAAGCCTGAAAACATTCTCATAAAAGTAAGACATCATTAGTTAAACTTGATTTCTGGTCTTTCAAAGTGAGGTCGAATTCTCAGAATTGATCTTTTGTTTTTGATGAATTACAGCAAAACATTTTGAAGCTTGCAGACTTCGGCTCTTGTCGAAGCGTGTACTCCAAGCCTCCGCACACGGAGTACATTTCCACACGCTGGTACCGAGCCCCGGAGTGCCTCCTTACTGATGGATATTACAGTCTGAAGATGGACATCTGGAGTGCTGGTTGTGTCTTCTTCGAGATCATGAGGTGTTTTTTTGTTTGAGTTTAAAATGTTGAGATTTATTCACCTGTATTTGACTGTTCCTGCTCATTCACTCTCATAAACAAATGTGTTGCAAAATCTATGTAAAGCGCTTTGTTGTAGCAGTTTGTCACTGTACTCCTGTGCATTCCAGCTTGAACCCTCTCTTTCCTGGAACCAACGAGTTGGACCAGGTTGCCAAGATCCACAACGTGTTGGGAACACCTGATCAAAGTACACTGCAAAAGTTTAAGCAGTAAGGACTTTTTCTTTTCCTCAGACTCCTCATCTCGTCACACAAGATGCATTTATAAGTTGTGGCGATTTACTGCAGTGTCGTTCTGTCCAGCAGGTCTAGAGCGATGCATTTCAACTTCCCCCCGAAGAAAGGCACCGGCATCTCCAGATTACTGCCCAACTGCCCGGCTCCAGCTCTGTCCCTGCTTTACCAGATGCTTGCATACGATGCAGACGAGCGCATCACTGCAGAGACGGCGCTGAGGCACACGTACTTCAGAGAGATCAGGTGAAGCGCTTAACTGTAACTGACCTGCATGCTATTGTTCAAATCATATAAGGAAACAGTCTGTCATCTTTAAGAGAAATGTGGACGCATTTGACTTTGAGTTGGGCAGAATCATACTGTATGCAATTAATCATTAGGGAAAATCATCAATTAATATTTGCCACTTTGCAATTAGTGTCACATGATAAGGACATTTTTGTGTGTGACTCACTATGAAGCACACGTGAGCCTGTGGCTTAATATTTACTTAAAGGGATCCACGATTAGTTGTAACATTAGACTTTATTTGATACACATTTATTTTAACTGGAAAATAAAGAATGTAAAAATACTGTAGGCTGTTTAGTTTTATAATTTTTTAAAATATATTTTAACACGGACGGAGCCATTTTATTTACACGCAAAGCATTCTGGGTAAATGATGACATCAACTAGGTCCTCGGTGCGAGCGAGCTATATCCACCCTGAAGGTTAATCTTGGACAATATCTGATGATCGACTCTTTTAAATGAAACCAGAGAGCGTTGACAGAGAGGAGAAGGTAGAAATGACTCAGCCTGTAACTGAAAATATGGATGGAGGACAACAGAGCTGCTTCATGGAAGAAGAACCTCAGCTTACCCTGTTAGCCTTTGCGCTAGCGCAGATGCTATATTGCCTTGTATGTATTAGCTTGGTGCTAGCACGACAAACTAACAAGCTAAACTGAGGTCCTCCATCCATATTTTCAGTTACAGGCTGAGTCATTTCTACCTCCTCTCTGTCAACGCTCTCTGGTTTCATTTAAAACAGCTGATCATCAGATATTGTCCAAGATTAACCTTCAGGGTGGATATAGCTCGCTAGCAACCTCACACCGATGACCTATCCACGTCATCATTTACCCAGAATGCTTTGCGTGTAAATAAAATGGCCCCGTCCGTGCAGTATGTTTTTAAACTTTTAGATGAAAAATTATAACAGCCTGCAGTATTTTTACAGTCTTTATTTTACAGTTAAAACATATTTATCAAATAAAGTCTAATCTTACAACTAATCAGGCATCACTTTAAGATACGCTGCCACTGCACATTGGGGAAAAGGTGTGTTTCAATTCACAGCTTGCAATTTTAACCTGCTAAAATGAAGAAGTTTGATTGATTTGTATAACCTTAGAGCAAAGGGTAACTAATTTGAAGTCAAAAACATGCAAGGGTCATTGTCATCTATTAATCGGGATATTAGTCATTATCAGCTAAATGCCAAAATTAATCATGACTTATTTTTTGCTAATATCACCCAGCCTTAATTTGATCTATTTGTTTTTTTACCCAGGATGGCTGAGAAGAAAGACGAGACTCTTCACAGATTTTCAGAGACTTTGGATGGAGTAGAATGTTCCATGAAGCAAACCTCCCGACCAGCCCGACTCTGTAAACAACTGAGGGGAAGACACACGAGGCAGACGCCTTTAAMGAGCGTAAGTCGAAACTCTCACTGCTCGGTCTTGAAGTAAAGCGAAAATGCTCACAAACTTGGGCTGTGCTTTACGTCTCTAGCACAACTCAAAACGTGTAGCAGACCCCCTCAACAGGCGGAACGTCCCTCGTGGTCCGGTGGAGCTGCCAAAGTTCAACATGGCCGTTTTAGGACCTCACAGCACATTTCCTGTTACCGCTCTGCCTCCTCTCATGCACAGAGGAACACTGCCAGCCATCACACCAAAAAAGTGCCACCCACAGTTGGCTAAGGTAACTGAGATTTTTTTATACTAAAAGTAATGCAAACATGTAAAAAAGCATAAAAGAATGGATTCCAAACGTGCTCTGCTAACCAGTTTTCAACAGATTTCCTATTCAGGCTGTTTTTCCTCTCTTCACAGCCCAGAGATGACTCACATGCAGCTTTCAAAACCTTCTATATGCCACCTCTGGATCGCAAACATGGAGGCATCTGAGAGTCAGAAACACTGAAGTTTCATCAAAAAGAAAAAAAAAAAAAAGTACCGTAGGTCCTCTGGATGGGTTCTTCTGTAGTGAAACGTTTCGTCTCTCCAAGAGACTTCTTCAGCCTGAGTTTCAGGTGAAACTCAGCCTTATAAGCACAAAACGTTTCACTAAAGAACCCATCCAGAGGACCTACTTATTTTTTCTATTTGATTTTTTCTACCTGGATTACTGAGATGCATCAGGACACTGAAGTTTCAGATTAAGTCACATRTGAGGAAACTAGACAGACCTGAAAAACAGAAAGGACATTGTTTGGACCGGCATGATGTAAAAATAGTGAAACTTCAACCAACATCCTCGAGGGAAAAAAAACTCATTCAAGACAATAAAACCTGTTCTAAGTGCAAACTGTTTAACCTGAATGTAATAACATTTTATCTATCGTCAAGACATATTTTGTCTTATAGTGTTGAATTTTGTTTGACTCAGTCGTGTTACCCATTTGCAGACAATGAAGTCTTTACAGTACTCAAGCTGAGCAATAAGAGCAACATTTTCAACATGAACATTTTTGACTTCAAGTCATACGACACCTCTGAGAAGTAGTCAAACTGGACTTGTTCAGGTCTCATTTCACACTGAAAGAACTGATAAGAGAGGGAAAAAAGGAAATCCCCTCTATACTGTAGCACATGAGAACCATGTTTTGTGAAAGTGGCTGAATGTGATTGGCCTTGTGTGTAAATCCAGTGTGACAGATGACGTCATGCTGTGCTTCCAGTTTGGAAGGTCCAGTAACTGGATAATAAATCTTCAGAGCTGCATTGGTGAGACACAGGAGGATTTCAAACATGTTTGAACTATTGGAGAGAACAAGTCTGACAAAGATTAGAGACAAATATTCCGTAAAAGGAAATAATAACATAAGGAAAACCCCTCCACCAGGAAGCTTTGTTTCCTGACTAAATATAGACTGAGCATGAAATAAAAACTAACCCTAACCCTGGAGACATCAAGACAGCGTCCAAACTCTGATCTAATTTAACATCTATTAAKTGGATGACTTTGATCAGCTGACTGTGATTCAGTAAGGTAATAAACATGAAAAAGTTCAAGGACAGCACTGAATTCTCACAAGTATTCAGAGTTGTCGCATTCRTTAGTGAGAACGAAAGACCCGGAATGAACAGATTTCATGAAATCAATAGTCTTCCTGTACAAGGGTCAAATGTGAAAACAAATGAGTTTGTCTTTTTGCATAAGTGTGTATTAGGGATGGGATTCAAAGGAACATAATTTACTTGGGGGGGGGGGGGTCAAATCAACATTCTTGTTTATGTCCAGATTAATTTCTATAAATGATGGGAGGGTATTTTGTGAGAGCAGAATTAAAACCATAAACTTGTGTTTTCAACACGGTCACTCATGAAACATTCCAGGTTCATRAACACATGTAGGTGCAGAAAAAAACCAAACAGAAAACAGCGTATTCAAGATTATTTTAATATTATTAATATGTATACTTTAGGCTTTAGAAATATAACTATCAATGACAAAACTTCCATTGGAGTAATGGTAGTTTGCTTAGGCCCCCATCAAATCAATTAATTACAATATACACATTATGATACAGAGCAGATTTAAATCTGAAATAATATTAAAATAAATGCTCAATAGATAAAGGTTTTAATTTTCTCATCTTTTTTTCCATCTACTGTATTAGCCATTTGTGAGTTCTTTTCACARCCAAAAATGTAAAGCCTTTTTTTCTAATAAACTAAATTTAAGTGCAAACCATTTTTTTTTGTTTTATTTTATTTAAAAACACTATGACTGCAGCATCCTGCTTTTATAGATTCAGAATTCAAGACTAAGGATGTTAAAGCCAAGTGCAACAAGGCAATCCTCAACCCTTGTTTCTGTTTCGTTAGAGTAGTTATAAAAACAAAAAAATCAGTGCAAAGTCATCAACAGGGAGATTCTAGACAAGGAAGGACAGAAGTGGAGGGCAAAAGTGGATGAACGCTTTTCTTTTTTTTTTTTTCCCCAAACGCTCACGCAATTGTTCATAAAAAGGAGAGTTCTTTCAAAATTCAGATTGTAGTCAGGATGTATGTGGAATAAGAAACTATTGTTTTTAATCTCAAGACACAACTGTGTGGTCTGCAATTAACAAAGCCAAGCTTTAATTCCAGAGAGAATAACAGTCTGATTAGATCTGAGACAAAAAAAAATTAAATAATAAAAAAAAAACCTAAAATGTGTTAAAACTCCAGAGAATACAACAATAGCGCAACAGTCAAAAATTGCACTACACCTTCCCCTGTTTAGTTTGTCCCCTAAGTCAAGTGAGTGATAAATTAAATAAAAAACAAACAAACAAACAGAAAAGCCATAAACAAAACTGGGAGAGGGAAGGGTAAAAAATATATATAAAGAAAAAGAAAAGCAAAACTTGCAATGCTTGCAGGGTGAAGAGCAGCATCAGACTCTGGGTTGCAGGGTTCTTTAGCAGCAGAAATATTGTGGCTATACTACTGTTCCACTGGGAGAGCTGGCTTGGTTTTGGGATGACAGTAAACCCTAGAAAAAGGAAAACAAGGAGATTTGCATTGGGAGAGTCCACAAAAATCAAGCAACAAACAGCTCAGTAAAAGTGGCCCACAGCTTTCCAAAATCCAAACCTCTTCCATCAAATGGAAAACTTGGACACAGCAACAGAGGAGCTCCTTCTCCTAACGTCTTCCAGAGCTTTTCCTTATTAAAACACTTACTTTGTATATTAGAATTGTCCTAATCATTTGTTTTCTCAACTTCTAGTCATCATAGCGGGCATCGTTGTCACTAAAATTAATCTTCAGTGCATTCTACTGACTATATTCCTGCTATTTAGAATTATATTTCTTTTTCTACGGTTTAAAATGAGCTCCAAAACAAGTCTTCAGTCAGGTCATGTTAGCCTCTCCCTAAACATAAATCAGGAACTTAGGCTTTCTGTTTATTTCACATTGTGACTTTCAAGTGCATTATTTTGTCAAAATAAATGATTCAACCACAGGATGAGGGACAAAGAAGGGTTCACACACATAAAGCTTTCAGCATGCGAGGAGCAGGGACTCTTCAGGCAAATCGTGACATTTGCATAAAAGCTGAGATGAGGGTAGGGTTGGGGTTCGACAGCCTTTATCAAACCAAATTATCTGACTTCATTCTCAAAAGTAAATCGAGTTCAATGGTGTCCAAGTAACTAAAGCTTAGATTTGTGATTTAGTGTAAGAAAATACAGCTGTTAGTGGCAGCAAACAGTTCAATGTTAAAATTAAATGAGCTGCTCCACAACTTTTTCCTCTAATCAGAGACGTAGGAGCTAAATTTTTCTGATTGTTCTCACGCGAGACAACATCTGCTCTTATTTTGATAAGCAATCTATTGTTCACTGAAAAATACCTTTTGCTACAAAGTATTCTTTCACAAACGATAAAGACTGGAAGAGCGCTTAGTTAGCATTAATACATTAAACATAAGCAGCGAATTGAACCGCAGTAAACGTGGATATAAACAAAAAGCTGCCATTGACACTTGTTCTTAAACAGTTATTAAAAAAAGATGAAAAAGGTCAAACACTTTCCCATCCAAGAACTGAATCCAGAACTCAAACTACCAAACAAACCCATCCTAAAATATACCAGTGTACGTGGATTATGTGTTAGCTGTGCATTAATTAATAGTAATCACTATAGTTAAATCTAACTGGTTTCCCTTCACCTKACAACTCTTTACATAAACTCCGTCAAAAAAGTATAACCAGAAACTCCATTTTTTTATAGTAGAGAAAATAATTTAATCGCTATATTTACTGTTAAATGTTCATCCGCTTTTAAAGTTCATGTTACTTGCCTGCCTGCAAAATAACAATTTGTCTATAAAAAGCTAAAAATGCTTTTGAAAAAAGTCACAAGTTTATAGTCATAATTGTATCACTTCAACCTTCGCCACATTTCCTGTTAAAAAGAACTTACCACTTTGCCTGGCCTCGCCCATGTGCAAATAAATCCCTCCTGACAAGCAGTCACTAAACAGTCCTCTAAAAATATGAGTACAGTCAGTCTCTCGTGTGCTATTTTTTTACAGATGAGGGGCTCGAGGAGGGGCACGTCCTCCATGCGCGGGCAGAGCAAAGTGCCCAGTGTCTTAGCGGGGTCCGTTTTGGTTTTCGTCAGCAGGTTGAGCTTGTCGCTGCTCTTGCTGCTGATGTGACCCATGCTGTGGTTGCGTTTGTGGTCCTTTTCGTGGTGGCGCTCCTTCCGGTCGTGGAGTGAGAGAGTGGCAAATTTGCTCACGCCGGTAGCGATGGCACTGTCCATGATTCCGCCGCCGATTCCACCGCCCCCGCTGCTGGCCTTGTTGGTACTGTTCGCTGTCGTGGTGCCGGCTGAATGGGGCAGGCTGTTGGAGCGTGGTAACGTAGCAGAGACGGAGTTAATGCCAGGAGTATTGGCACCACTGTTGTTTCCATTAGTAGTGTTACTAGAGGTGTTAGTGATAATTGTAGCGCCTGCAGGAGGGCTAGTAGCATTCATCACGTTAGTATGTGTCCGTGTCCTTGAAAGAGGAAGATGGGGGAAGAGGATATCCTCAGTGAGGTCCCAAAGGCACAGCTGAGTGTCCTGGCCCACTGAGCCAAACCGGTARGTCACGCTAACGGGCCGACTATCCGTAGAGTTGCGCTTGGAAAGTCGAGACTGGGTACTGTTGGCCCGATCTCTTCCAAAGTGAATCATCTGATCCTGGAAGTCCTCGTCACTGCCGCTGAACTCCATTGGGTCGCTTTCCTCTACGCTGGTGGTGTAATGGTCAAACGCCACCACGCTCACCCACGACTTGTGGCCGTGACCTCGAGCTATGACTCTGCAGTCCAAGAACGACCACACAGTCACTAAATCGTCCTCGCCACCGGCGACTATGTACTTTCCGTCAGGGCTCCAGCACACACACAACAAGCCGCCAAAATAGCTCTTCATGGTGCCGTGAAGCTCCACGGCATCAAAGTTAAAGACCCTTAGAAAGCCATCTTGGCTTACACAAGCAAGGAATTTCCCATCCGGAGAGAAAGCAAACTCATTCAGAGCTCCTTCCCCAACTGTCCATTTCAGGAGAGGATTCCMCGTGGATTTGCTCTTGCAAGTGTGTACGGAGTAGTTCTCCCCCTGTTTGAGCAGCTGGTAATGGGGTGCCGTGGTGCCACAGGTGTGCTCCACATTGTAGAGGTACATATTCCCACTGGCATGAGAGACCAGGAACAAGCTTTCAGATCCCGGCACCCATTTCACACAGGTTACTCTGGACTTGTCTATCAATCTCTGGCAGGACAGAAAGAAGGTTGAGGTTTGAGAGACGGACYAGGAAGGACAGAAGCAAAAACATTTCAGTTAATGTACAACACGTTATAAAAAAGAAAACATTTTAATCTGTGTGCCCTTCAGGGACCTACCTCCTCATTGAAGAGTTTACTTGTCTCCTTCTTGATGGGGTCGATGAGCTGTACCTGTCCCGCCGAGAAACCAACCAGCAGGGATACACTCTCCGCTGTCGCTGTGAGATGGTTGAAGTCATGACACGTCGGCTGCGTCCCCTTGTAAATGCGCTTATCTATGGGCTTGCTTAAGTCAGCAGCCTGGAGTGACAGGATGAAAAGCACACAAAATGATCACAAACTTTATAAATACCTAAAATAACTTTTTACACGTTGTTGCAACAGATAGAACAGTTTATGGTGTTAATTGCACATCAAATAAAAATGAAACACTCAGACGTTTTAGATTTTCCTGACACCCAACCAGTGATGATCAGCAAACCTTTTGAAAGTCAAGTTTTTTAGGCCAAAACTCTTCATAAAAAACACACATAGCAAAGTAAAAGCAAATACTCAAAAAACTGGCACTCAGAATATCTGTAGATGTAAAAAAGCTCAAGTGCGGTGAACAAGTCATAGGACAGACTGTAGATAAAAAATAGCCCCATTTGTTAATGATTTACAGTCAACACCACTCACAGAATGGAAAACTCATTTCAGAGTAAAATGATGAGTCAGTGGATTCTCTGATACTGTTACGTTTGTCATTGTCCTATTCTCACCAGTCAAGACATATCTTTTGAGATCATATTTATTTTTTGCAAATTTATTGGAATTAGGGCTGGACATTAAAATAGTATCATAATAGACACATGATCAATATCGATAGAAAATACATCCCATAAAATGTTGATTATTTCACTGAACAGAATGCATTCTGGGCTATGTAGGCAGAGGGAAGGCTTTAGTAGCTCAATCTCTCATGGCCCAGCTAAGCAAGGGTGGTGGCATCCATCCACTCACTCACTCACTCACTCACTCACTCTTTGGTAAGCTAGCTACATGCTGTTAAGTCACATGAGCAGTAGCAGCTTCATGTTTTCTCATCGTGCCTCAGAACTGCTTGAAACTAAAAGAACAACAACATGGAGTAAAAGGAAAAAATGAGTGCAACACCTTGAGGGGAAATTTTGGATAAACGAGGAATGGTCACATCACCAGTTTGGCAGGATTAATCAGTCTTTTTTCTCCTGGGGCCTCATGTACAAAGACATGCGTGGATTTCTTACTGAAACGTGGTGTACGGTCAAATCCAGAAAAGTGCGTACGCGCAAAAAAATCTAGATGTATCAAACTGTGTGTATGCCTGAATCCACACACATTTCTTTTGTACATCCCAAACAACATGGAACTGAGCGCATGAGACCTCCCCTGACGCCTTCATTTACATATGTTAAACAGACGCAAATTACTTCCTGCATGTGTGAAGGACACGTTTGTTTGATCCCTGCACGATCAGAAATGATTTCTAGAGTCAGGAAAATAATGAATTAAATATAATGTGAGTGAGAAAAAAGATCCTAAGTAAGAATAGGAGTAAAATATGTTTTTCCACGCAAATAACGANGTGTGTGTGTGTGTGTGTGTGTGTGTGTGTGTGTGTGTGTGTGTGTGTGTGTGTGTGTGAGTGTGTGAAGCTACTGTGGTGTGCAACCGCATCCATTCTGAGCCTGGAAATATTAACTTTGCGCACGAGTTTATTACCATAATTACTGTAAACACAGAGGAACTTAAACGTTTGGTAGAACATAGATCTTAGTTTATTTCATAGCCGATATGAAGAAACGAGTCTCTGCGTCTCAGTGGAGAGTTTTCATGACATGATGTTGGAGTCTCCACAAACGCTGCACACGCCGCAGCCTTTGTGCGCAGTCTGTTTGTCAAGCTTTTGCTCTCCTACTTACAGCATTTTCACAAGTTGTAAAGTGTACTTCCACGTGTCATTTTGGAGAACTCTACAACGTAAACACCAAGTATGAAACACCTCCACTGCCGGCGAGGGTGCATACGCTCCAGAGCCGCGACTCAGCCTTTAGAATCATATGGATGAGACGATTCCACTGGGCATGATTCAGCTTTGGGCGGACTGGACTGACAAGGTCCCGATGGGTCTGCCAACTTCCTCCGGAAAGCTGTGGAACCCCAGTTTGATCGCTGCTGCTGCACGTATGGCTCATGGCTCCTCGCTGTGTCACACTCCCAGAGCGCAGCAGTGCCAAACTAAAAAATGATTTTTCCTCAAAACGGCTGATGAGCCACTCTTCATCGGAAATTTCTATCTGTTTATAAATAAATGCTCTGCGTGTTACACTATTTATTATATCCTCCAGTAAGGCTGAATCAGTTACTGGTAAATGTATTTTTGGCACAACTTTGCGGGTCCTTTATCTAACTGCGTCCATGTGGATGTAATGATTGTTAATCATGTGTGTCTGGTGTGAACAATAATCATTTTCACATCATGAACAGTTTCTCAGAATCACCTCTAAGTGTCGCCAATGGAACCAAAGCCACAGAAACGTGCGTACGCCAGCCCTGGAGTTGGCGTGGGGCTGCCAACATTTCCACGTTCATTTCAGTTTTGATACATCGAGAGTTTTGCGAGGAAAATGGCGTACGCAAGGTTTTTGTGTGTATGCACCGTTGATACATGAGGCCCCTGGTCCTTATTACAAATACGTAAAATAAAACAATAATCAATAATTATCGACAGATATGAAAATGCTTCTTATATTGTGATACATTTTTCAGCCAAGACATAATTGGGAGTAAAACTGAAGTCAAACCCCAAAAACACCTTTAACAGAATAGAAAAAAAAAGTTTGGCCAATTTATCTGACAAGGCATCTGACTTGAATATAATAAAATGTCACTATAAAAACCAAACTTTTTTTGTAAACTTAAATTGCAGACCGACAACGAGGTCATTGTGAAGCTATGTGCTTTCGTTACATGCACTTCAACATGAATTATACCAATTTTGTCTGTTATTCCTACCTAACACTCACTGATGTGTTTGTCAAAAATCATTCGAAGTGAATCTGCTCTGTTTTAAAATCAACAAAAACATCATCTGTGATGTCAACTCGTGTCAGCAAATCTCTCCTGATATGATGCAGCACACCGAGGAAACCGTCATAAACCAAATCTTCTCAACTAATAAAAAAATAAACTTAAAATTTTAAATATAAAATTAATTTTTAATAAAAATGCTTGTATCATGACTTGTAAGCACAACTACCATGTTTTTTTTTTTATCTGAACACAAGTTATCATGTGATGTTCACTCACGTCCTCAATTTCAGCTCGAGTAAAACACAATGCATTTTTCTGTGCTCTGCCTCACCCTGGGCTTGTGGAGAAGTAAATGACTCATTAATGACTGAAAGGCTATGCAGGATAGAAAAGTGCAGAGGGCAGCAACAGAGCTCTCAAACACATATGCACAGTAATTACAAATACTAAACATAGTGAGTCAGCCTAACTTCATCAGATGCATTGCACCCCACAATCCTGCTGCTGTTAGAGTGAAATGATTCTGCTGTAATCAATCAGTCATCTTGCTATTACATTAAAAAGGTATGACAGGTGCTACAAAATACTCTTATACTTTATAGACATAATGAATATTGTCTTATCAAAAAATTAAAGAGACAAACTTTGACAGCTAGACCTTGTCATGTGTTAAATATTTAATGTTTACCAGTCTGTGTGACAAATGGTAAACACCATACTGTCATGTCATATAAAAAATACATTACCAGTGGCTACTGATATTGTTATAACAAGATTTGGGGTTACATGGATGGCAATAATAAGGTTATTATCCCAACAGCTGCTAATAAATGTAATCTGCATCTCTGTTATTTCTCCTGTCAGAAGTCGACAGGTGCTAACGGAGTGCAACTAGCAGCTCAGCTTCAAACTGTATCCGGAACAAACATTTTAAAACCCTCTCAAGTTAAATCCCAACCAAATGAGCAACTTCCCTCCATTTATATTCTTGAAACCTGGAAAAATTCGGCCACCGAGTAGAACTAGAACGAAGCAGCGGTCTAGAGACTGAGTTTAGCTTCTGGCCTCGTAGTTGCTGTTAACCAGTTGCGCTGGCTTGCTAATAACTAGCCTAGCATCAAGCTAACTAGCTAGCTGTCGGCTAATTTCAAAGTCAAGCACCTGTCAGAGTTGTTAAACAGCACGAAGACAAACTCAAACTTGAGCAACAGCTGAGGCAGCAATATTGCACTTTAACTAGCAACACCCCGGTTTCCCCGTTGACAGGTTAGCCGAGTTAGCACGCTACCTTTCTAACGCCTTTGTAGATGTAGAAGTAGAGCTCYCGGCCCACATTGAAACAGATCCTGTCGCCGTTACCCGACTGGTCGTTGACGTTCACGAAGGAGACCTTAACCGGGTTGGAGCCCTGCGAGTTGAAAGGCACCCTGTTGGGGCGGCTGTATTCGGAGTGAGTGAGGAGTTTGTAGACGCCTTCCCGAGTGGTGAACTGAGTTTTAATTTCGTTCATCTCCTTCCCTCCTCCTTCCGCCGCCATCTTTGAAATTAACATTCATCCCTTTCCCCGCAGGCCGGATCTTACGCACGGGTGGGAGCGGGCCGAGCGACGCAGTTAGCGGCCATTCCGACTCTCCAAGTCCCCCCTTCGGTTCACCGTGGAACTGAAGGTAAGCTGGGTGAAACTACGTTTGAACCACTTTTATAATAGTCCACATTCAATTTAAATGAAGAGATGTACTACAAAAAAAATGTCATTCAAGCATTTGAGGTCTAATCTGTTTAACCAAACTTTCAAATCCCTATCTATTGTAATTGGCATACATTAGAAAACTAATAACATTATATCTCCTTTTTTTATTTTTACAAAATAATTTTAATAATACACGGCTACAAAACAGACAGAATTTAAGTTACTTAAATATATTTAGACATATTTAATTCTTTAAAAGCACCTGTCTCGTTGTTTTCTTTCAAAAATCAAAAACACCTGGTGCTCTGCTGATTGCCTTTTCTGAACATTTCACCATATAATTTATTTTAAAGTGTCCTGGTGTGATGGCATGCAGAAGACAGCAAAGTTCACTTCAAGGTGTGTATTATGGCGATATTTGCGTTTAGAGTTAAAATTATAAAGTGACATTTTGAAAATATTGGATGAAAGTTTAAAAGGCCAGATTAAAAGTAGTAAAACTAGATTTTACTCAGATTAATAGTAGATTTTGACATATTAAAGACAAGTTTGTTTGTTTTTTCCATTAAGTCTTTTAAGCACACCATAAAAATCAACATGTATTGAAAGTTGTAAAGAAATCAAAGTGCATGAACTTTTCTGAACAATGTTGAGAAACTGGAATACAAGCATGTGCATTCCTCAGTTTTATTGATGTTATCTCGTTTTTTAACTTAACTTTCTTTTATTTAAAATACTTTTAATTAGGCTTGCTGACATTTGACTTTTGTTATATAAAGATTTGAAACTTTATAATGTGCAAACAAGGGATTATAAATATATAATTGTTGTTGAAGTATTAAATTGTTTAAAGAACATGCTACAAAGCCAGAATAGTCAAGAAAAAAATGCTTTAACAAAGTTTTCACAATATAGATAAAAACAAATGCACTGCCTTTTGATTTTCCCTCTTTAAATACATTGCATGTTTTCTTTTGCATTCAGATCTCAGTGATAGATATGTACCCAACACCATGAACCAGCTTACTTTCAAGTACATGGTAAGATAATTAAGCACCTATTTGTGTGTGTGTATATATATATAGTTTTCCTAAAGGCTGTGACACAATGATATTTACTTTTGGTAGATGTGCAAGATGGATTCCAGCACAGATTCAGACTCAGAAATCAGTCCAAGATGGTCTGACACCAGCACTCTGGTACGGCCTTAAAGTAGTTTTGATATTGAACTTACTCTTATAAATAAATTCCTCATAGTTTATACATTTTTTTAGAATGAAATGTTGCCAAATTGTTAAAAAAAGGAAAGAAGTGCTCATATTACTCTTTTGTTCAGGGGTGTGTGAGCAGTGCACCAGAGAGCGGCACTTCACGCAGAACAGCATCATTAACATACAAGTCTGCAGGAAGACATGCTTCTCATTCTTTGGTAAGCGTTCATTTCTGCTGCGGAAACGTCTTCCTGCTCTTCGGCTTCATGAATGTGTGCTCACGGTTGTAGCTTTTTGACCCGTACGACGGGAGCTCGGAGGATTCTGACCGGTCAAACACTGACGCCGGCGTCAGCAGCAGGCAAACGAGGCAGCAGGGGAAGGGGGTTGGATGTCGCCTCTTGGGCCGAAGGAGGCGAGCGGTCCTGCATCACCCTGCTGCTCTGGCCGTCAGTAAGATGATGAAAACCGGGACGAGGGAGCCTCTCGTAGATGAGCACTCTGCAATCAAATARGACAACGATGTCCAGATGAAATGTGGGAGTGATTCAGAGCTGTGGGACTGTGACTTTAAAAACACTGCAGAGGAGAGGATAACTCATCGGACGACACGCATCCAAACCATGCATATGGAGCTGCAGCTCGATGACTCAGGCTCCTCCACACCTCACACTCCCAAACGTCAAATCTCAGTGGAAGAAAGTTCAACTCAGCTGGTGAACAGCTGCTTTGAGAGATCCCTCGGCTCCAGTAACCTCAGGTCTCTGTTCAAGAGAAGGGTGGAGCTCCAGGGAGAAGTGGAGGAGCAGGGGCCAAGAAAGAGGCACTGTGTCGTTAACATGAAGGACGACGAAAGAAAAGACTGAACAAAGTCAAAACCTTTTGAAAAGTCAGATCAGGTGCTTTAAAAACTGAAACTGTACTTCATTATTTAAAAATGCTTTAGTTTACTCATGTATAGTAAAACTGTTCWGCTTTTCATGAAAAAACATAAAAGATTTAGTGATTTTCTGTTCAATTATTAATGGAAACATTTGAGCACCTCCTGATTTTAACAATTCACCTGAATTTAACTTCAGCTTCTTTATAAAAACAGTTGTTTTTAAGTTGAACTAATTATTTTTTATACGCAGTTGCAWATTAATTAAGCCATACAGACATTTATGACATCAATACAAAAAGTATCACGTTTAAAAATGCACTACATAAACCAAGAGTATTTTCTTTTATGTTTAATCTTTGCAGGAGATTCTGTGATCAAGAATATAACTTGGCTTCAGTTATTGGGCTTTTCTTCCTCTATTATTTCCGTTTAAAGGAGCAGTATGTAGGATTTTTGCAGACTGAAACTCAAACTCCATTTGTGGAACTTAAAAAAAGTGATCAAAAATTGGAAGCCAGAATAATTGTGCAGAAAACCATGTGAATTCTCTATTAAATAAAAACACATCTTTATTCTTCAGTTCTAAAAACTCCATCTCATTGTTCATAGTCACAGTCTCCCAGCACCACTTTGTAAGTCARGAAACATCAAGTGAGGGTCCCCAGAGGATTTCCAGACATCAATTTAAATGCAAAAAAGAAAAAAAATTGCTAATGGATTGTTTTCTTCATGATTGCATTTTTTGTCAAATAATAATCATAAATTAATAATTAGTATCAGTTATTAAGCTTATTTATATTGTTATTCCCTTGTTTAACAGAGTTATTAGTAAAGTTTGCATACGTAAACAAGTAATATTTGGGGTCACGAACGTCTGCAACTGTTATTTTGTGGGCCGGAAGGAAAAAAAATTGAAAACCACTGCACTAGAAAACTTTTTTTCTGCGTGCACATAATGTAATTCTAACAAAATGATCAAACATATTACTTTTATTAGCAATTTAGACATAAAAAATGTTTCATAAGTTGTCTGGTCTTGAATCAGAACCAAAACAATGGTCCTCTCTACATCTGCTTACGCTAAAMACTCCCCAAAAACTAAAAATTTGTGTGTTTCACAAACCTCACACACCCTGGTCACACCCCTGGGTGTGGTACTTTTTAGTCAGACCTTAGAACGTCAACAGTTCTTGTTTATACTGCAGAGGGACGCACTGAGTAAAATCATAGATTCTCTTCCTGTTTAAATAATTGATCACAAAGTATAAAATCATATCCAAAATTCAGTTACTGACACAAAATTTTCTTATCAAATTTTATCTGATGCTGCAGAAGAAAAAAAACGTTCAACCTGTTTGACATTCTTCCTAAATTACCGACCACAAAAAATGAACTACCATCTTTTGATTTATAAAGAATAAGTTCTTACATTTGACATCAGATACTCATTTGTGATCCCTTCCTCCCACACACATCAAAAATACACCCAGTAAATGGCTAACATGACAAATAGAAAGCACCAAGTTTTATAAATCTGCATTTATCGTAACCTTTTGCAGAAATCCTTTGCTGAAGATCAGGGAACTGGAATGTAGTCAAACTGATGTCAGTCATATGCATTTCTTTAATAAAACTAATTCTATGAGTAAACACTGAACAATGTTAAACCTCAAGAAATTTAAAAAAGTCATCACATTTCTCATCTTAATTAAAACCACACTGATAAAACAAAATGCTTTGACTAAGTTTAAAATTGATCTCCTTGGCTGGTGATTAAATGACACCTTAAAGCAGAGTCATCTCAAAAGAAGTTTCTCATGACAATAAAATCACAAAGAAAACACAAAAAACAGTTTACTTCCAGTGGGTTTTATTCAGTCTAAAACAATCCTTTCATTAAAATGCTTTAATTTCAACCTTCCTTTACCTGCGTGCTGTTTTTCCTCTCATTTCACCTTCTGGCAACATTCTCTTTACCTTCAGAAACACTTTCCAAAAACTAATGATTCACATGTTACTGCGCCACAAAGATTTAATATTGGAATGCAAGAAGCTACAACTACATATATTGGCTAATGAAGGGAAGTGATTAGGTTTCGTTAAATCTTTAGGAATGCCTTGTTTATTTATTCGGTACACAGCACAGCAACTCCACGCTCGTAGAAGCTGTGAGGATCCTCCTTGGTGGCGATGTCAAAGTCAACAGTGAAGATGAGGTCAGACCTGGTGAAGTTCAGGTACACAGGGAGTGTCACCTGTAGAGGGGAGAAAAACAGGAKGGATTAAATTCTTTTATTCAGTTTACAAAATGGATTTTATTTTTAAAACGTTTTAAGCRGCACCATGTGTCTCTTCTCTGCGTTATTCTGCTTCACCCAGCGGAGCTGAGTCAGAGGCAGCTCCGTGGAGATGGAGGTGGACAGAGACAACTTGTTGTTGGCACAAGTAGCTCCCTGCAGTTTCAGACCTGAAAGACGGTATGTTTTAAATGAGAACTTCCTAAATGCCACAATTACAGTCCTCCATTTACTGTCCAATGTGACTTAATGATTAGTAAATTAGTGAAGCAGGTATGAGTGAACGAGGACAATGACAAAACAGTTTTATTTTTATTTTATCATGTAATAAAAAACAAAGTGGCATTTCCACAGTATTTTTCATGAGTGCAGCAGATGGAATGTGTTTGTTCAGACCTTTGATGCCAAAGCTGCAGGCGTCCAGCGCAGCACCCTGGGCTGTGGTGACATTGACCTCCAGACACAGCTCTTCCAGCGACCAGC